CTCCTGCTCCTGCCCCCGACAGGACACGCCACCCTGCAACCTCTCCTGCTCCTGCCCCAGACAGGACACGCCACCCTGCAACCTCTCCTGCTCCTGCCCGGAAAGGACATGCCATCCCCTTGGCCTCTCCGGCGTGCAGCTCGACAGGACACACTGGACGTGACACGCCAGCTCCTCCTGCCTGACAGGACACGCTGCCCTTCACAGTTGCGAGACCTGTGCTGAGAGGCTGCTACACAGAGCCTGTGCACGACAGGGAGGTCCCTGCAGTGTCAGGACTATAGTTTATCACATTGCCCCAGCGGCAAAGCAGCAGGAAAGCAGAACTCAATCCCCAAAGCCCACAGAGCCTCTTACGCTAATATTTCACACAAGCACAGAAAACACAGGGCCTGCTTCGGACCACGGCTTATTGTTTCTCAAAACCCAAGAGATTAAAATCAAAAGGAGAAGTCTGCGTCAGCACGTGCGCCCAGAAGGAAGAAAGACTCATTGTGTGTTTGTAATGTGTGCGTCTTGGTGCGTGCGCGCGAGGCTGTGTGTCTCAGTGCAGCAGTTTACAGCTGAGTCAGCGAGCGCAGAAACTGGAATTGATGAAAGCAAGAAGAGAGGCTCTGTTTGCAGTTTTCCAGGGACAAAGCTGCTCAATTTAAGCACAGGGAGAAAACTAAAAACAAAACGCAAACACAGGGCCTGTCAGATTTGAACACTGCGATGCCGTTCAGATCTCCGCGCCGCCCTGGGATTGTTCGAACCACTGGCTCACACAGGGCCTGGCAGAGGAGGAGGAGGCAAATCCCAAAAAACAAATCCACGATCTGGGAGGACTCAACAGCCAGAGGTCCCGTATAAACCTCTCCTGGACAGAAAGGACGCTGGAGAAGCCACCGCCTGCCCTGAGACCACCTGCTTGCCATCACAGCATTGACACAATCATCCTTGTCCAGCATCTCCAGTGACGACAGGTTCTTGCAGCAAATCAGACACTTGGATCACTTTTAAACAAAGAGGTTAAATCTTCTCTTTAAACTAGAAGGATAAACACAACCACAGAGGCACCTAAGACTTGAGAAACCTGTTTTCTTGGCCCCGCACCCAACTGGGATGCCAGCATAGTGCTCACAAAGACACCTTACTTTTTCAAGAAAGACCAAGTAGGTACGACAACTTCAGCAAGGAACTGAAGAAAAAATAAAATAAAATTTCTTTACTGGCAGTGAGCGGATATACCTCAGAAGAAACTACAGCTCCCACGATGCCCCTCAACCACATGAAATCGGAATGAGGGTCAAAGGTCACCAAGGAGGAACAGGTTAGAGGTCACAGGCAGTGAGACAGTAAAACAGAACTACTGCCAGTAGCCATCTCAGGGGTGTATGTTTAGGAAGTAAATCTCATCTGTAAACAACCAACTGTCATTGTGGTTTAAACTATCATGTTGTGTAAACGCCACGTCATCTACTCAAGAGGACAGGAGCACAGGTATAGTGACCAGTAACACCTCACTGAGCTGAAAACACACCTGAGCTATTCCAGGTCAACACAAGAGATGTGCGTCACAGAGCGAAGAGGTTTTTAGTAAGATTTCAGTCATGGCACAGCCACTCAGTCACTGGGATCCATCTGCAAAATCCAAGCATTTGAAAGGATGCACTACATCATTCCAGAAAGAGTGCAGCCCTCCCCAGCCCGTGTTCGAACCCTCAATCTCCTGCTGCACTAAACTGATCAGAGATAAAACCTTGCAATTCCAAGTGGCTGGGCAGAGACAAGGGCACCAGGGCAGCCCATTCCAAAGCCCACTGGGTACAGGGTTCCTGGGCATCGAACCCAGGGCACCAGGGCCAGCACACCAGGGAGACACTCCCAAACAGTCTGCACACTTCCCAGGTCCCAAGCTGTGAGAGCAAGCAAGCAGGGAGTCCGGACACTTGGATGGATTCCAACTGGTAATCTTGTCTTGGATTCAGGAGAAACTTTGAGACAAAGAGGAGAACAGAGCAGGACAAGCGTGTCTCAGGGGCGTGACGTTCAGCCCTGGCAGGGTCTAGATCGGTGCGAGTCTGGAAGATCTGGAACAATTCTAATACAAATCAGACTCTGAGCTGACATAGGTAACTGTTAAATTCAGTAAAATATTAATTAAAGCTGCAGTTAACATAGGTCTATTTTAGACAATAATCAGTTATGACTTTACTTAAACAGAACATTTCCAGCTCTACAGCACAAAGTGTTTCTCATTAAAACACTAATAAAATGAATGCATTGTTAGGAGGTAAATTTAAGAAACGTACTAACAATCCTGATTAAAACAAGGAAACGCACATACACAGCGGACATATTGCTGCAGTTCTTAACATTATCAACACGCACAGAATATGATAAGGAACCAGCACATGATACAAATGCAAAAGATAATGTACTTTAGTCCCACTCTTAACATGGACAAAATCTGAACAAGACTGTGCACTAGGCAACATGGGTGTATCTGACAAAGATCAAAATCAGTATTTTTAACACTATTGCCTCAAGCCTATAAAAATTGGTTTTAGTCTTTTAAATCTCATTTAGAAACCCATTTGCTGTCCTAATTTTAAAGGAAGACTGTTCCAGATTCTAGGGGCTCTGATAGAGAAAGCCCAATCTCCCTTTGTAATGTAGTTAATTGACAACCTCAGGACCAGGACTGGACACCCTGCAGACACACTGACCACCCAGGACCAGGACTGGACACCTGCAGACACACTGACCCCCAGG